CCTCAGCAGACACCTCATAACTAACGCTGGCACAGAAAGGCATCTATCAAAACGACCCTAGTGCTACGTTTCTCTGCCACTGGGGCAGGGGAGCCCAGTGCCAGACATGTCAGGCTTGGTTGGCATTTTGGTGCAGCTTCTGTGAGAATCACCATGGTTCTTAGGTGACTAAAAATAAAGACTGCCACTTTCAAGTCAGTTCCTTTTAGACTGTGTAGAAGGCTCTTCAGAGTGTTACATAAAATGTCTTACTCGCCTTGAACTGTGAGTGGAAGAAGCCGCCTGTGCCTGGGGAACGCTGCCCTAACCGGAGGCAGATCGCTGTCTCCCTCCCCTTGCTGGAAAATCAGGATAGAAATAGAATACCATTGTTGAGCCTATCCTAGGAGGATTTTCCTCCAGAAGCCCACGATGAGTCACACTGGCAGCCCCACCCCCTGCCCCAGCTCCTAAATCCTCACTTGCTGCGCTGAGCCAAGGGCTGATCGAGCCTCTTGTCACTGTGCCCTTGGGTCTTGTCCCCAGCACCTTACTCCTTTCCTCCTGTCCATTCACCTATGCTGGGCAGTCCCTCCCTGGCCATCTTCCGCAGGGCTCAGCCTGGATTGTCCCCTCCCTCAGGGACTTGTGGAGGCACTGTCCTGTCCTCCTCCTCTGCCCCTCTGGCTCTCCCAGCAGTGAGGATTGACTCAGAAGCACTTATTCTGCTGTTCACTGTGCCTCCTCTAGACCTCTACAAGCCCTCCTATGTCCCTCCTTCCTCTCCCGGGGACCTACCTCCCACTCCCCGTCTCTTCCTGGGCTCTCTTCTCTAATCTGAGTCTTGGCTCACTCTCCAGAGAGTTCTCTAATTTTGTGTCTTTTCCTCCAGGGCTTCCCTTTCTCCAGTCTGACCCACACCCACCCCTCACATCCTGATTTCACCTTGCCTTCCCACAGCTCTCTGCAGCCCTCCCAGACTATTCCTGGGCACAGTCACATCCTCTCACTCTTCCTGCTGCTCTGAGGGCTGTGCGGCCTGAGGCTCTCTCTCCTTGATCCACTGTGTGAGCTCCTGCGGTTGTCTCCCTTGCCTGGTGAGCTCCTCCCCAGCTCTTGCTCTTGCCTCACTTCCTCAGGCTAGCCTGAGGCCAGGCAGGCCAGTACAGCCCCTGGCCAGAGTAAAGCTTGCTGTTTGTCTCTTTGAACCAGTGGGCACCTGTACACCCACTGACTACTGGACAAGATTGTCCCTGAAACACTACCTCATTTTTTCTTCCTTCTCTTTCTTTAATTAATTGTATATGTATGATGTACACACATATACACTCACACATATTCATGCTCACACACATGCCTGCACACGTACCACAGCATGCATGTAAAGGTCAGAGGACAACTCTGGGGATTCAATTCTTTCCTTCAGCTGTGGATTCTGAGGATCACACTCAGAATGGCAGTCTTCTGTGGCTTACCTGGGGAGCCATCTCACCAACCCAACTCTCTCTCTTTTTTTTTTTCCTCTTAATGGCTTCTGTGAAAATTCTAAGCCTAAGTGTTTAGGCAAATCAAAGACCATTTGACTGAGGTTTGGGGAGGGGATGCGAGCAATCTGGTTAGCCGGTGTGTGACAAGGCCCTGGTTGGCCCTGAGCAAACTGGAGTCAGGAGCTCTGGAGGCCTCCACCTTCCCTTTGGGCTGTGCACGCATAGACATTGGGGCTGGAAGTTGTAACAAGTGTTCTGCCCCTCGGGCACCTGCAACTTGGTTTGACACACATCCATCTGAGAGACTGGACCTGAACATAAATCACTGGAGGGCTTGGAAGGCCAGGTCTTATCTGCCTTTGTACTAAAGAACGTCAAGGCAGGTAGGCTAAGAAGTGTGAACTCCCAATATTGCAGGTGTACTTTTTTTTTTTTTAAGATTTATCATTTATGTATGTGAGTACACTGTAGCTATCTTCAGACATACCAGGAGAAGGCATTAGGTCCCAGTACAAATGGTTGTGAGCCACCATGTAGTTGTTGGGAATTGACCTCTGGAAGAGCAGTCAGTGTTCTTAACCACTAAGCCATCTCTCCAGCCCCCACAGATGTACTTTTATTAAGGTCTTATTCACATTCTGAGGGTCGGGTATGGCCGTATGTCTCAGCCCAGACAGATCAGGCCGTTTGTGACAGGAGACTCTCAGGGGTTAAAATGAGGTAGGCAGCTAGCCGCCTGTGTGACCAGGCTCCCTGCAAGGGCACTAGGCAGTCAGAGTCCCCTGGACACTGACACAGTACATACATACCAAGCCCTCTGGGTCCCCCACACTGATAGACATGTGCTCCCTGCAGGTAAGAGTCACACTATGAAAAGGCCAAATGACGTGGCCTAAGGTTAGTCCTTACCAGGGAAGCCCTAGATGTCCACCATAGTCCCCTAGATGTTTGTCCTTCCTCCTCTAGGCCCCACCAAAGTGGCAGCAGCCTATTCTGACTATTCCAGTGCTGTGGCCTATGCAGACCCCAGCCAGGGGCTTGCTTAGTTGCATCACCAGGCTGGGGTGTGTAATCCTGCTACTCAGATGCCCTGGTGGGGTCTTTCCACTGCTGGGAAAATGCTCTCCTTTGTAGAAGAACAGAACATCAGGCACTGGGGCTATAGCTGAGTTGGTAGAGAACATGACTCTAACATGCACAAAGCCCTAGATGTGGTACCCAGCACCTAACTGGGCACTAATCAGACATAGTGACTTGTGTATGCCTGTGATCCTAGCACTAGGAGGAAGAGGCAGAAAAAGTTCAAGGCCAACTTGGCCTACAGGAGACCTTGTCCCAAAACAAAGGAAAAAGAAGAAGAAAAAAATCTAGAATTTTTCTGGAAAGATATACAATTCCCATTAAAGTGGGTTACAGTCTCACGCAGATACCGCAGTGAACATCAAGAACATGGTTCCGGGGCCCAGCTCTGTCCCGGGGACCATTGTTCCCAGTGGAAATGAGTGCGTGTGTTTTATTGGAATGGGATCATTGAGAGGGGAAACTATCAGCAGAGGATCCTAGACAGCATTCTGATGTACAGAGATCTAGGAGGCCCCTCCTGCCCAAGCCCGTCCTTAAGGCTCAAAACATGGTAAGATCAAATGTATCTTGTGTCTTGTAGTTATCCCTGGTGGTGACTGCCACCCAGCTCCTTGACAGAATAGGCTCGGGGGCAGAGCAGATAAAGTGTGGTCAGATGCAAAGATGTCATGACTCTTCAAGCTTTCCTGGCAGGGAGTGAAGCTTGAGAAGCATCATGGCGGGAGATGAAGTCTGCCTTGCCAGGCATGGTGTTCTTGTCTCTCATCCCAGCACTGGAAGGCAGGAAGATTGCCACAAGTTTGAGGTCTAGAGTACATACATCAAGGCTACAAAGCAAGGAGTACCCCTTCAGAACTGTTCACAAACGTGTCCCCAGCCGGCACCCTCCATTATTCGATTTAATCTAATAAGTACACATTTAAGGACCACACTCCTGCTGGGCTAAAGTATGGGCCTCCCTCCCATGGAACCAAGTAGAGGCCCCCAGTACTGCCATTGGCCCAGCACCTCTTGTTTTTTAGATCCACAGTCTCTGCATTTGGAAAGTGGGTTCCCATTAAAAGCTTAAAAGCGGAAGAAAAAAAAGCAGGCAGAAAAGGAAATGCCATCAGTCCTGCTCCCCCACTGCGGCCTTGAGTCCCGACTGTCTGTCGGAAAGGGGCTGGAAGGAGACTGAGTCTGTCAGTGGAGTTTCACGGCAGCCAATGGAAACTTGCAGGAATGCTGCTTGGGCCAGCCGGGGGCTGTTTCCACTGCCACTTTTACGAGATGCAGACCCGCTCCTCCTTCCTTGGCTGGCCAACTTAGAGATGTGAGAAGTTCTTTGAGCTTGGCTCCTCCTGGGGGTGAGGAGGGGGTTCAGTTCATGTTCTACAGGCAGTGATTTTTTCAGGTTCTGTCCTATGACCCAGGGTACAGAGTCCTCCCATCCCTGGCCAGCTCATACAGAAGGGCCCAGCCGTCAGATGAAGCACCCTCTGTGACTGCTGACATCCACACAGGATCCTGTGAGAATTTATAGCTTCATTAAAGGGGAAACTCTTTCTTACAATGTCTGTTTTATTAAGTGTATGAGAGCTTCCTTTCTGCTGGGTCAAGCGCAAGCCTTCGTGGAGCCTCAGGGAATGAGACAATACCTTGGGAAACATGACCTGGCCTTTCTAGTGACAGTGGGAACCAAGCTTGGTGTGCTTACGTGCAGTGACCTTATCCTCAGTGGCTAGCGTGGCCCTCATGTATGCAGTAGGCACTCAGCAACCCTTAGTGGTAGAAATGAAATGACCGGCAGAGCCTGGAGCAGCTTAGTAAGTGTTAGAGTAGGTGAGACTCCGAGACCAGGCAGAGTACTGGCCCTCTGTGAAGTATATAGCTGCCCAAAGCCAGCGGAGGTACACAGATTTCCACAGCCATTGTGGGAGCCCTGTCTACAAGACTGGTCTTGGTCCATGAAGTACACATAGCCTTAGGTATGCTGGGTGTGTGCAAATGGTCCCATGTGGCATTGTCACTTGCCAGTGGTCACCCTCATCCTCACCCCCAGGTGGCACTGTCTCACTCTGTCCTCCTAGGACCCACACAAGTAGAGCCGCCACTACCGCGCACCCCACCCCCGGCTCAGGCAGGTGGGGTGGATAACACTCACTTCCCAGCTTTGTTCCCTGCCAGCCTTGGAAAGAGTGCCATTAGTATAGAGGGAGGGCTGTGTCCTAGGCAGGAGTACAGACTAGGGCTCAAAATTCCTTATACCGTGTCTTAGGGGAAGCTATGAGATCTGCCATCTGCCTTCCCTCTTCCTGGCCACAAACTCTAGAGACGAGCGCAGAGGGCAAGGCCGGGCAGAGCCCACTGGTGCGAAGTGAGGCGCCTGGCATTTGGGTGCCAGGCTTATAACGATCCCTATGGCGGCAAGGTAAGCCCTCCATCCTGAGCCTAATCCCTTTTATTTTGCAGACTGTGTCCATTCTAGAACAGCGGCTGACACTGACAGAAGACAGGCTGAAGCAATGCCTGGAGAACCAGCAGCTAATCATGCAGAGACCACCACCATGATGAGGGGAACAAGGATCAGGAGCTCAGTTGATTGGGGGGGACAGCAAGCCAGGGATTTGTACCAGGACTGGAGTAAATAAATAAAGGGATCCCACCTGAGGGAGCCACATCTTACCCAGTCTGGGATTGGGTGCCCTCCTCCCCACCCCCTTCCCACCCCACAAGTGTTGTTTGTACCTGGAGCCTCTTTAAGATAGTTGGGAAGCTCCCAGCGAGCAGAGCCACACAGAAAGGAGACTGGAGACCCAGAAGGCAGAGCCATACTAATTTAACAAAAAGGAGCCATTTGAACCACGCTGTTTCCTCAGAATCCTAAGATGGTGGCACGCTGGCGTTCGCACTCTCTCTCTTTCTCTCTCTCTCTTCCCCCCCTCTCTCTCACTCTCTCTCACTCTCTTTCTCTCTTGCTCTCTTTCGCTCTCTAGCTCTTTCTCATCTTGCCAGGTCTTCATTCACCTCACCTTCATCCTCCTGACTGGTTTCTAAATTGACTGCTCATTGCTTAGATAAGCCAAAATTTTTCTTTCCATTTGACCCCTTCCCCTGCCCAAAGCCCCCAGGGGGCCCACCTGGGTCAGGTTTGTTCAGGAAAAAAACTAGGTGGAATAGGTAGGTCCTTTGCAAGGACCTTAATTTCTGTCACCACATATATTCACCAGGACCCATGGCTTCTTCCTGTCTATATGCATGAGAGTAAAGGAATCTGGAAATTAAAACTACTTTAACTGATCTTTTGCAGGAATGGCTTGTTCTGGGTAAGACCTACTCAGTCCTCCCATCCCAAAGTCCCTAAGGGAGAATCACAGCAGCAGCGGGAGGTGGGGTTCTCAGAGACCAAAGACACTCTTTTGCAGCTGTTTGGGGTACTGGGGTGCAAGGATAGCCAAAGGCCCTGTGTACTACCCACACCCTCCTAACTGGCTCCGAATGGGAGGTGGAAGCCCCAGGCATCCTGTTTCCATTCATTCACAAGGGCTTCCAGGGGCCTCTTCCTCCACATCTGGACTGGGAAAGCCATAATGAGTGCTTTCCATGTCTGAGTTGCTTGTGCCTTCAGCCTTGAGCATCTAGGGACTTAACCAGTCAGGGAGGTCCTTTTCCCCTAGCTTACTGCCCTGCACCAAGGTGAGTCTCAAGTGCTAGAACTTCTCAAAAACTGTCAGTACCAGTGGTTAATGTAGTCCCAGCTCTTTCAGCTCCCCAGAGAGGCAGAGCCTGGATGGATGTCTTAAGAGTTCAGGCCAGCAAGAGGACCAATCTGTATCGATTTCTGATAAACCGTAAGTGTGGGAGTTTGCCTCCTCCAGCTTCCAATAGATGAGGAAAGCTGAATTCCAGGGTCAGACCTTGATCCTGCCCTTCCCCTGCTATACCCCTTAATACTGTGGTCTAACCTCTTTGAGGCTCTGATTGATAGAGTTTTGAAGTAATGACCCTGAGAAGCTGCAGTGTCAGGAGCCTGGTGGCCTCTGGCAGGAAAGCCACTCAGCTGCGCTGGGGATAGTAAGCACCCCATCCCATGAGCTTTAGCTGGCAGCCAACTTAAAGGGCACAGCTTGTGTGGCCAGCCTTGTCATCCCCTCCCTCCCCAATGCTGGCTCTGCCACCCAGCATGGGCTCTTCTGGTGGAGGCAGGGCAAGTGTAAATTTGGCCCACATGGGAAATGCCTTTAATTCCAGCACTCAGTAGGCAGAGGCAGGTCAAGATCTCTGAGTTTGAGCCTGCACTCACAGTGAGACCCTGTCTCACTCAAAACACAGGTGGGGGGTGGGAACAGAGTATCAGCGTCCATCATCAGCATCCATCCCTCCTTCCCTGCTTCCCTGCTGCGGGTGCCTGGTAACCATCTACTTCAAGCTTGGGCTGCCATGGCTTCCCTACCGTGATGAACTGTGAACCAAATAAACCTTTCCTTCCTGAAGCTGCTTTCCTGAGTATTTTGTCAAAGCAATGGAGAAAGTAAAAGAGCTGCTCAGAAGGTGCTTCTGCCGCTCACACTCCTCTCTCAGGGGAGCCATGTGACCGCAGGGTTCCCAGCCTACATACATGGCTCTTGGAATGAGCGGTGATGGGGGCAGATTTATGGAAGGCTAAAGCGTATTTAAGACCAAGATCTCGGGCTGGAGAGATGGCTCAGTGGTTAAGAGCACTGACTGCTCTTCCAAAGGTCCTGAGTTCAATTCCCAGCAACCACATGGTGGCTCACAACCATCTATAATGGGTTCCGATGCCCTCTTCTGGTGTATCTGAAGACAGTAACAGTACATTCACATATATAAAATAAATAAGTCTTAAAAAAAAAAAAAAAAAAAAAAAAAAAAAATCTCTGGTAAGGACTTTTTTTTTCCTTCTGAGACCCAACTCTGAACCTGCGTGGTTGGGGTGGGGTTCTACCATGCTCTTACCACAGGGCACTGACCAGCTGCGCCGCCATCTCCTACCCTCTGAAAGTTTAGCCAGAGGCCCTGTACAGGCTGGTTCTGTTTGTCAACGTGACACAAGCTGGAGTTATCACAGAGAAAGGAGCCTCCCTTGAGGAAATGCCTCCATAAGACCCTGCTGTAAGGCATTTTCTCAATTAGTGATCAAGGGTGGGAGGGCCCATTGTGGGTGGTGCCATGCCTGGGCTGGTAGTCCTGGGTTCTATAAGAAAGCAAGCTGAGCAAGCCGGGGGAAGCAAGCCAGTAAGTAACATCCCTCCATGGCCTCTGCAACAGCTCCAGCTTCCTGACCTGCTTGAGTTCCAGTCCTGACTTCCTTTGGTGATGAACAGCAGTGTGGAAATATACGCTGAATAAATTCTTTTCTCCCCAACTTGCTTCTTGGACATGATCTGTGCAGGAACAGAAACCCTGACTAAGACAGGCTCCAAATCTTGGATTTGAGTAACTGAGCTCCCAGAAAGGTGAACTGTAGCTCCCACAGCCAATGTGCCCCATACTTAGCCCTCTCTTCCTCTCAGAAGTAGCTAAGTTGCCATGGCCAGCTTCTCTGCGTTCCAGGCCTTGGACCTGCACTTCTTGTCAGAGAAGCAATGGTGGCAGGCCAGGTGGGCTTTGACAAGCACTGTGCCAGGAAGAAGTCACCAAACCTAATCACAGCCCATGGTTTCCTACTTTGCTTCTTTTCCTACTTTTGTTTTTGTGATAAAACATTCTGACCCAGAGCAACTTGGGGAAGAAAAGGCTGACTTGGTTTACACATCCTGATCACAGTCCATCCCTGAGGGAAAGTCAGGGCAGGAGCCTGGAGGCCGAAACTGAAGAGGAGGCCATGGAGAAATGCTGCTTGCTCTCCATGGCTCAATTAGCATTTTTATACAATCTAAGACCATTGAGGGCTGGGACCAGAGGGGGACTGGGCCTTCCCACATCAATTATTAATCAAGAAAATGTCCCCCCAGACTTGACTACAGGTAAGTCAGTGTGATGGAAGCATTTTCTCAATCGAGGTTCCCTCCTTCCCAAATGACCCTAAATCGACCCAAACTAGCCAGCACACATGGCAAGCCCACCTGCCCCTTATCTTTGAGTACTACCCCCGGGGGCATCTAACAGGTGGGTTCCAAGAGCCCCAAAAGGCCTGTGGTCATTTCACAGTCTCCATTGGAAGTCTCTCCCGGTTTCCTGCCTCTGTCCTGGGATCTCTGTCACCTGACAGCTTTGCCATGGCTCAGGATTTCTTCCTGGTAGTGGGCATCTGGGGCCGGGACAGAGCAGCAGCACAGTGGAGGTGCTGTTCCTCGTCCATCGCTCAGGTCCTGGCTCTGCGGTCTTCAAAAGTCCTCTCGGATTTCCTGACCTCTGTGAAACAGAGTGAATGTGGACAACATATGATTGTCTTTTACCTTATAGCCAGGTCTCTTTCCTGGCACTTGGCCCTTCATGTCAGTGGGGCAGGGGACTTGGATCCATGGTCCCTCTGGTTCTAATTCTAGGAGGCCTTCATTTCCTAATCCAAGAGCTCCTGCCACCGGCATCTCCAGGAGCAAGAAAGAAGTGTGAGGAGGTAAAAACTCCAAGCTGCCACCTCCTCTGCCGCAGGGAGGGCTAGCACAGGCTTCGAGGTGGATGTTTGTGATTACCCAGAATCCCGGAAACCCAGCCCGCTGAGCAAGCGAGCACAGGGTGAGTCATCCTCCCCTCATCCCAGCTCCCTGTCATTATCCTCATCTTCCTAATGACTTGCTCAAGATAGGCCCATGACAGCTCCAGCCTAAACTGGTGTGTGACCATTTGAGGGGGACCAGAAGCACAGGGGTAGTTTCTCACTAAGCAGCCCCACTCTACCTGCCCCACCCCACCCTGGGCTGCTGGAGAGTGACACCATGTTTGCTAAGGGAGCACTGACAGGCTGGTGGCAGTATCACTGCCCTCAGAGCATAATTCTACTTCCTGTGACCATGGCTGAATGGGCTTGGGGCCTGGTTCCTTTGCCTGAAAGACTAGCCCACTCCGGCTACGGCATTGTGAGCACTGTGAGTTCACTTCCACCACACTAAGGAAGTGTCCCTCTAAGAGCTTCACTTTGTCTTTTGGCCCAGGATGGGGCGCTCATGACTATGCCAGGATGGGCCTTGAACCATCCCTGGGTTCTTGCTGCCCAGCTGCCGGGAAACATGGGGAGACAGCCCCTCCTGCATGTGGAAGCACTCTCCAGAGAACCTATTTATAGAGCAAGGGGAGGTGTTCCCACTTAGGTGAGGTTACCACCCCAGTGGCCTGGAGTCAGTTGTGGAAGAACCCCCAGCCCCTACAAGTACCCCACCTCTCCCACTCCTACTTCCTGGAGAAGTCTGATCTCTGGGAGGAAGGGAAGAGGCCTGTTTTCCTACTGCTTCCTGTTCAGCCTCTGCTTCTCTCTTTCAGACACAGTGTGTGTTCTTGGAAGGGGTGCTTTAGTCTGCTTGATGGGTTCCCTCTGGTAGAGGTTGGGCCTTCAGGTCAGTGTCACGAAGGCAACATACACCCCAGTGCCTCAGCCATCTCCACTGGCACTTGGTGAGTTAGGCTTTCCTAAGCACCCAGGCCTGAGCGTTCCCTTGCTCTCAAGGGCTAGCCCTAGCAGATGGTAGGTATGCTCCATGCTCACACTCAGGGCTGGGATGGGATCGTGCGCTCAACGCTTGCACCTAGTGACCTCTCGCCAGCCCTGCTCAGGCTCCAGCATCTTGCCCACATGACAGCTCCTACAGAGTTTGTCTCTCAGAAGCCTCTAAACCTTGGAGCTGAAAGTAGTGTGTTACACTCCTGCCCTCCAGATAGCAGCTCACATGCGCCCACACCTAGGCCTGCTCTCTGAAAACAAGGTACATTCTGTCCCAGTAAACGTGGCTGCTAGGGACTCTGCCAGGAGCTAGGAGTCTGACCTCTGTTCTGAGGCTGCCCCTGGAGTGTGGGTTGTGAGCATCTCCCCCAAATAGTTGGGATGCACCTAGAGTGAGGCCAGTCATGAGCTCCCTCATGGATGCTCACAGTCCTGTGAGAGGTGGCTAATCCCCTGTTGAGAACCAATGCCTGATCTGAAGGAGACAGAAGTCCCATAGACCTCTCTGATGGGAGTGGAAGTCTCAGGCAGTAATGCCAGGTGAAGACTACCAACATTCCCAAGAGCGTGAATCTGTTCTCCTCTTGCAGATCAACAGAAAGCCCAGCCTCAACCCAAAGCCTTTCCAACCTTCCTCCCATGCCTGCCCCTGGCAGCACAGCACTCAAGCTGCAAAGGGTCAAGCAAAAAGAGAGCAAATAATAGAAAGCTTGTAAGATGCTCATCCTACTCCTGCTCAGCCTCCAAAGACAGGCCAAGGGGACCCTCATTTTCACACACACACACACCCATGGTGTATTCTTCACTGCTCAGCCCCAGGGTTCCTGCAGCCAGGAATGCAGGACCTCATCTCTGAGCTTTCACAGAGTGAAAACAACAGTAGCCTTGTTGGCTGCTGAGACAATTCACCGACTGTTGGGGGGGGGGGTCTGCAGCGAAATAAGACCCACACCCCAGGGAGTAGATAGGAACCCAAGAGGCAGGCCTGTATTATTGGTGCCCCACCCCCATGCTAGCCAGCCTGGGCTCAACTGGAGTTCGGCCAGAGTTCCTAGGAGGGGTTCCATTATGCTCCACGATGTCTTAGAGGTTGCTGCCCAAATGTCACACATCTTTTACTGGGCTCCACCACCCACCACAGACCAGCATGGCCTCTTCCCAGTGGGACTTCCAACCATCAGGCCAGTCCAGGTGCCTCCACACAACCGCATGTGCCAGGCCTTCCCCTGTACTAGTGAGTGCTAAGGTGAGGTTCAGACTGGTGATTAGCTCCTCAAACCACCAGGCCTGGCGCAAGGACAGGACTTGAGGAGGATAGCTCTGTCACTAGTCACTGGAAGTGAGGAGGCTTCTATCTCCATCCTCTCCTACCCACTAGGTTCTATATCTGTAAACCTCTGTGGTCCAGAACCTAAACAAGCAGACCCAGGATTTTGGCTTTTTCTGTTTAAGAGAAGAGCAGCCTCCTGGGGCCTCTTGCACCACCCCCATCGGACCACTGGCCTGGGGCCTCCTGCGGGGGCCTGGGAGCCTGCCTGCCAATCTGGGGTGCGGTAGAGCTTCTGGGGACTGAGCCTGCCTTGGCTTCCTCCACAGCCACATGTTTCCAATCCCTTCCCCGGCCCCTCTCCCCCGCCCCAGCCCCTTCCCACTTCCTCTCAGCCATCCACTCCATGTGGAACTTATTAAGAGACCCTCAGGGCTCGTGTAACCCAACTCTGGCCTGGGCTTGGGGAGAGTGCTCTATCCACAAGCTGCATTCGGAGACTCAAACTCCCCATGTTCACCCCACAACATCTCTGTCTGGCCCTGAGTAGCTCTAAGCCAAGACCACAAAGAACTGGCTATGACCAAGAGTCAGCCGTGCTGAGGAAG